AGATAGCCCAAGACATGCTACCACTTCTTATGTAAATGTATAATGTTACATATAAATTCATAAAAAACATAAAAAAGGCATCATCAAATGTTTCAATTATTTTGACTATGCATGTCTTTAACTTGTATAATAATGTAACTAATATAAAAAGTCTTGTTAAAATCTCAAGACTGAGAATAGACCATAAAAAGCACTTTTGATCAGGCATTCAACGCAGACGGTCCCTTGGGGTCCTAAGTTGATTTCACCACACCGGAAGCCGCCCGGTCCATTGAAATGAGCGGTCGCTTGCCGCTCTGCTGCTGCGAGTCGCTAGTAGTGTGAATGAGGATTAAGACAAGTCATTTCACTTGGCAGCCATCTTTGAAATGCCTCTCGGGCAGTATGCTTAGTCATTCTGTCTGAATAGGGAAACATCAAATTCTCCAAAACTTCTTGCCAAGCTTACGATTGAATTTCACATTAGGAATCACCAATAAAATTAAACATCATCTGTCTATTTAGTTTCATTTCTAAACATCCAAATCACATAAAATCTGCAGAAACTCATATCTGTTCTGAGCTCCTCCCCTTGTGTATCATCAGTCTATAGCGATCAATGATTGGCTTATTTACTGTACTAGCAAGAGGGGCTTTATTCACCATGTTGATCATTACACTTTTCCCCATTCAAAAAGATATGAGTGACATGTGTTGTGGATTCAATAGTCTTTGTTTTTCTTCTTCTTGGTTTTCTTCTACTTCTTCTTTATCAGAGTGTTTAAAGATCTAGCTGTTCAAGGACTGCATGTAAAACTTTGCAAAAGCCTGGAACAAAACATATTTTCCTTTTGAGGTCATTGTATTGTCGTGCATGTCCCTGTGGAAATAATTACATTGAAACGGTCATGTGAAAAAATTAGGACACCCTATGAAATTTCTATTTTTCCTAATCAGTATTTAATGTGTTGCAGGAATTTGGAAGACAAAACCTATATGAATCACAATATATAGCATTAACACACACACACACACACACACACACACACACACACACACACACACACACACACACACACACACACACACAGAAACTGCTAATCAAGCACCTGAACTGAACATCAACAGAAGTTTTAGTTTTGAGCCTCCAGGTACAGTATGTGTTGACACAATGCCTGTCTGACAGCTAAAGCTTAGCGAAAATTGGGTCATGCAACAAAACAATGATCCCAAGCACAACAGAAAATCACACACAAAACAGCTGCAAAATAAACCACTACAAATATATGTATTTCAATCAAAGTCCAGACTTTATCCTGACAAATGCTGTGACAAGATCTGTGCAAAAATATTCCTGAATGATCTGAAATACTGAAAAGGCCATACAGAATATTATTACTTAGGTAATTACTGCTAAAATGTGATGTTGTTCATCTGAGGTTTTATTTTTTACAGTTTTTTTTTTACAATTGTTTTGCCACAAATTTCAAAACTAATGCTTAAATACAACACACAAGTCAGGGATGCTTTGTTCATTTAACTAAAATCCCCTTTTCAGTATAACACAACTAAACAGCAATATGATCCCATTTCAAAATGCAACTTACACATTACATTTGTGTAGCACGGGGAGTGACCGAGACAACTAAAGTTTGGATCCACATGCAGGTTTATTCGGAGTCAGGCAAGCAAAGGTCAACACAGGTGCAAACAGATGTATAAAGGCAGTCCAGAATCGTATTCGATATAACAAGCAAGAGGTCGGAAGGCAGGCAGCAGACAGAGAGAACTTGATAAACAAGGCGAGGTAAATACACTGGCAAACAAGACTAGAAAACGCGTTGAATTGTCACTATAACAGAAAACAAGACTTGGCAAGGGAAGTGAGTGTGTGTGCTGCTTAAATAGTGTGTGTAATCAGTCTTTCACAATCTTCTGCTGGTGCGAGTGTAATCAGTCAAAATGAGGAAGCATGCTTGTGTGTAAGCGAAGTGCGTGTATGATAGTGACTATGAGTGAGATCCAGCGATCTTAGAAGTTACGATCGCTGGAAATCGTGACAGAGCCCCCCCCTCTAAGGAGTGGCTTCCAGACACTCCTAATGCTGTTCAGGCGGGAAGTGGACCGGAGGCGAAACAGGGGGAGGGATGGAGGGTCAGGACCATGCAGCGGAGGCATACCTGATGCATGGAGCTGAGGAAGGCCTGGAGAGTGGAGCTGTGGAGGGCCTGGAGCGTGGAGCTGCAGTGGCCCTGGACCATGGAGTTGCGGAAGGCCTGGTGAGTGGAGCTGCGGAGGGCCTGGAGCGGGGAGCTGCAGAGGGCCTGGAGTGTGGAGCTGCAGTGGTCCTGGATCATGGAGTTGCGAAAGGCCTGGAGCGTGGAGCTGTGGAGGGCCTGGAGTATGGAGCTGCGGAGGGCCTGAAGGGTGGAGCTGCGGAGGGCCTGGAGGGTGGAGCTGCAGTGGCCCTGGATCATGAGGCTGTGGAAGGCCTGGAGCTGCAGTGGGCCCGAATCATGAGGCTGCGGAGAGCCTGAAGCGTGAAGCTGCGGTGGCCCTGGGTCATGAGATAGCAGTGAGTCTGGAGCATGGAGCTTTAGAGAGCCTGGGGCCTTACGTTCAGCAGATGTCGGCATGTCATGTGGACCGGGTGGATCACACAGCTTTGGCAGCTCTGTGACGACCTGCGGCCTTGGCAGCCATTCGTGGAACTCAGGTGGCGGCTTGAACCCTTTGTGTATCTCAGGTGGCAGCTCGGACCCTTCGTGTGACTCAGGCGGCGGCTCTGACCCTTCGTGTGACTCATGTGGTGGCTCTAACCCTTCGTGTGACTCAGGCTGCGGCTCTGACCCTTTATGTGACTCAGGCGGCGGCTCAGGCCTTTCGTGGCACTTAGGCTTCAGCGGCATTGACCTTTCTTGTGACTCAGGCGATGGCTCGGGCCTTTCGTGGGACTCAGGGTCCGCAGCTCTGGCGGCAGTGGCTCTGGGAGCTCTGGCAGTACTGGCAGCAGTTACTTTGGCAGTGGCAATGGCTTTGGCAGCTCTAAAAGTACTGGCGGCAGTGGCTCTGGCGGCGTCAACTGCGGCAGCTCTGGCGGCGTCGACTCTAGCAGCGTCGACTCTGGCAGCTCTAGAGGATCTGGCAGCTTTGGCAGCTCTGGAGGATCTGGCAGCTTTGGCAGTGAATGAGAATCTGGCAGTTCTGGAGGATCTGGCAGCTCTTGCAGTGACAGAGGATCTGGCAGCACTGGAGGATCTGGCAGCTTTGGTAGTGACTGAGGATCTAGCAGCTCTGGAGGATCTGGCAGCTCTGGCAGTTACAGAGGATCTGGCAGCTTTGGCAGTGACTAAGGTTCTGGCAGCTCTGGAGGATCTGGCAGCTTTGGCAGTGACTGAGGTTCTGGCAGCTCTGGAGGATCTGGTAGCTTTAGCAGTGACTGAGGATCTGGCAGCTCTGGTAGTGACAGGTGGATCTGGAAGCTCTGGAGGATCTGGCAGCTCTGGCAGTGACTGAGGATCTGGCAGCTCTGGAGGATCTGGAAGATCTGGCTGTGACAGGGGATCTGGCAGCTCTGAAGGATCTGGCAGCTCTGGCAGTGATGGAGGATCTAGCAGCTCTGTATGTGGCAGTGGCAGCTCTGGCAGTAACAGCTCTGGTGGTGGCAGCAGCTCTGGCAACTCAGATGGTGGTGGCCATTCTGTGGGCTCAGGCTTGTGATAGACTGGCGCTTACGATGTTGTGAGCTGGAGGGCTTGTTGTGGCCACTTTGTAAGCTGGAGGACTGGAGGGGGCCATCTTGTGAGCTGGAGCACTGGAGGCGGCCATCTTGTGAGCTGTAAAGAAAAAGGAAGAGCCCTTAGAAAGTATTGCATTGTCCAAAAAACAGAACGTGCCCCCCGAGAACAAACACTTAAAAGTGTGCACTTCAGCGGTTAATTTAGCCCATAAATAAAAAAAGTCATTGAGCATACAGCCTGGTAATTCAGTGGTGCTAGCGATCTCGAACACTGGATGTGGTTCTCGAGGGATTGATAACCTTGGGTTTGGCTAACCAATAAAACTCCTGGATCCAGTGTGTAGCCGAGTCTTCTGTAACATGGGGAGTGACAGAGACAACTGAAGTTTGAATCCACATGCAGGTTTATTCGGAGTCAGGCAAGCAAAGGTCAACACAGGTGCAAAAATATGTATAAAGGCAGTCCAGAATCGTAGTTGATATAACAAGCGTCGGAAGGCAGACGGCAGACAGGAAGAACTGGATAAACAAGGCGAGGTAAATACACGGGCAAACAAGACTAGAAAACATGGTGAATTGTCACTATAACAGAAAACAAGACTCAGCAAAGGAAGTGAGTGTGTGTGCTGCTTAAATAGTGTGTGTAATCAGTCTTTCACAATCTTCTGGTGGTGCGAGTGTAATCAGTCAGAATGAGGAAGCATGAGTGTGTGTGAGCGAAGTGCATGTATGAAAATGTAGTCCAGAAATGGTGGATTTGTGGTCCATGGTGATTATGAGTGAGATCCAGCGATCTTAGAAGTTACGATCACTGGAAATCGTGACAATTTGAAAGAACTGTGCATTTATTTAATTACCATGATTTAAATATCAACTAACACAAGCACTCAAAATAATAAATAACTGTTGCATTAGTCTTAATGCAAAGCTTTATGCAAACTAATGTGCAATATTACGTTTAGATGATGAAAGTTTCATGATAAATCAAATTATACCAGCTACCACAGAAGATGACCAACTGGAATACAAAATAGATTTCAACCTTATTCCATATTTATGGTTTCTTTGTACCATTTTTACAGACATTGTTTTTTTTTTTTTGTTTTTTTTTTTTTTAACATTGAATTTAAAAGAAAATGTCTGATGTATGTAGAGAGAAGAGTGTTTCTACAATTGGTTCTTATTATAGTGGGTTTGCAAACACAAACTGCACATTAATTGTCATTGACAACAGAATAGCTCAATTCAGTTTCTTTTCTCCCATGTTGTCTCTGTTCCTCAGGTTATGCTATAGTTCCCATGCTGCATATGCTCAGAGTAAGCTGGCCCTGCTGCTGCTCTCCTACCACCTGCAGGAGCAGTTGCTGGTCAGAGGAGATCCCGTGACGGTGAATGCGGTGGACCCCGGCATGGTGGACACGGCCCTCTATGACAATCTGTGCAGCCCGGCCCAGGTGGCCAAGAAGCCTTTCGCTAAACTGCTCTTCAGGGTAAGGCAAATCACATAGCCCTCTGTAAACTTCATTAGTCAGATTTACTGGAGGATAATAATTGCCCGGACATATTTGGGATGTCTTGTTTCATTTAAATAACTTGTCAAACTTTGGAAAGTCAGCCAAACTATGTCTGAGTCACCGGCATGATACTTTATTCAGACGTCTGTCTCTGCATGCTTGGCAGAAAGTTCTTGAGGATGGCTTCAGGTTCGCTTAGTGTTTTGGTAAATTTTTTTAATTATTTTATTTTTGGCTCTTTTTTACCATTTTAATTGTTAGGACAGGAAACAAGAAGAAATTAAAATAAGACTAGGCTAGACACTAAAGTGTACAACAATTATTTTAAAATGAACACTGAAAAAAAATAAAGAGAAAAAATGTTTTTAAACATTTTTAAGTCAATGTTATATCAGCATTATTTCAGCATAAATCATACATAGACATAGTTATATTTATGAGCAATATTGCCACTATCATACTCTATGATTACAAATGCATTTTTTCAGGGATATAACACATAATTGAATAAAACAGTTATGTCTGATCGAATAGAGTCATTAGATATACCCAATATAATTATATGTCAAGTTTAACCACTATAGAGACATGAATCAGAATTGATTATTCCAACAGGTGATATCTAAACCACATAATTCATCAATTTAATTGTACATATTACCTGCCTAATAGCCTAAAAACTCTTTAAAAATACATTATATGGACCAACAATATTTACCAAACTATATCTGCATTGACTCAAGGCAGCAGGCCGAGTGCCTTAGTGTACCACAAGTGATGATATATATATAGGCATATCACACTGCTACAAGTGTGATATTGTGTTATACAACAGTTCGATGGCATACTTGTTTATATAAGAAAAGAAAAGAAAATTTGGAGAGTCTCTAAATCTTTTTGTACGACTAACTACTTTTTTGTCCCATTCATTCACATCTGTAGCTGAACGTCAGAACGTCGTTACTAATTCACCAATGCCACTTTAGAGCTAGTGTTTGAATTATTCTCTAGCATATTGTCTAAAGTGATGACAAAACAGGTGATTTTGCTCACATTTTATGATAATAAAGCTGAACAGCAAGAAATATCATCAGTCTACAGAGATTTCTCTGTTGCAATCAGGAGATTACAATAATTAACCCCCAAAAAAGCCAAAGCAAATCAAACAGCAGAATACAGTGCTATGGTATAAATACAGCACTACAACATACAAAATAAAGAGATTGACTTAGAATGTCACTTACCAGTTTTATAATGATTTGATCAGCAGTAGTTTGAAGTTTACACAGGGTTTTTTCCTACTCTAAGGGCTTATTAGGTGTTCTCTGTCACCATCTTGTGGCGGAAAGTTAATCGTCTTTGCTCTGCTCAATGACAATTATTAATAAATTATAAATACTTGAAATAGGCACTATTCCTATATATAAACTGCATAGTTGCAATCCAAAACATTGTAAATACCGTCATACCGCAATATTAATTTTTTTCGATATTACCGTAGTCGCATGACTCGGTAAAACTATAGGTCTTCTGAGAAAATTTGCTCAGGCGAATGAAGCGAACGGGAGGTACCGGAAACTACAATTCCCATCAGCCCAGGCTTGGCCATAATCCCTTGCGGTCTGTTGTCGCTACAGATCCAGTAATGCGGAAATGGAGTGTGCTGCTAGTAGCGGGGATGAAAAAGAGTTGGAAAACCCTAAAGCGGGTGTTGTCGCCGCGCGCGTACTGAATAGTGGTGTTGTCGCGTGAGTTCTTATCAGCTGTGTTGTCGCACGCGTTCTGATCAGCTGTGTTGTCGCGCGTCTACTGTAAAGCGGGGACGGAGGGTATGTCGCGTCGCGGGGGCACTTTTGATCATTTTGGAAGGGAACTTTCTATCCAAGACTAAAAAGGGCATGTGCACTGCACAGGTTGAGCCCTGTGTGTGCACGTGCCTGCAAGTTGAGGAATACGATTAATAATCAGTCATGGGGACTGCAGAAACACAGCACACTGTTCAGATTGATGCAGACATGAGATCTCTATCTCACTCATGGTTTGTCCTCTCAAGTGGTGGAAAGACAATGCACAACGTTACCCACTGCTGTCAACCTGGGCCAAGTCATATCTCTCTTGTCCCAGAAACCTCAGTCCCAAATGAGAGGTTTTTTTTCTGTTGCAGGGGACATTGTAAATACCCAGAGATACCAGCTTTTACCAGATTATATTTATATGATAATTTTCCTTTAAACCCATCTCTATCTAAGTGAGTGAGTGATTAAATGTTGAATGTGATGAGTTTTCAACACTACTAAATTGAAACTTAATTTTTTTACATGGTTTAATATTTTTTTGTTTTTAAAATTGAAGTTCCTGTTTCAAAGCTTACAGATAGATGGCTAATTTGTATGTCATTGACACTTTTGGCACTTTTTTGGAGTATTTTCATAAGTTTTGTTTTTTCCTGTAAATGATTCAATAAATACCGTACCGTGACATTCATACCGAGGTATTACCGTACCGTGAAATTCTGATACCGTTACATCCCTAATATATATATATATATATATATATATATATATATATATATATATATATATATATATATATATATATATATATATTAGCGCTGTCAAAATTAGTGCGTTAACGCATGCGATTATTTTTAAATAATAAACGCGTAAAAAAAAAATTAACGCAGTTGCAGGTTTTTTTTTTACTTTCTGTTGTGGTGGAAGTGTTGAACATGCAAGACATATGGATAAGACCAAGGAAGCACTTTTTGAAAGCAAGTTTCAGTATAAAACATTTATTCGCATCACCAGGCTCTCCAAAGTTTCATGCAATTTCAGGTGTTTCATTTTTAACTTTCGACTTCTGTTGTAAGTTGATACCGCATGTCGAACAGAAAGAAAATCCTCCGCATTTCGTGACTCGGTGTTCCTTTAAGGTAATAAAATCACTGGTTAGGCTAAACGGTAGACTTTTAATAAAAGTATAATCTTAATCATATTAAAATTGGTGTAAAAGTATTGGTGTCTTATGTAAATGTACTCAGAAGGTCTTTGGTGAAGTCGCGAGCTGTCAAAGACAGGGCATTACTCTGCCTTTCAGCATGAGCCCTCCAAGTTTAGCGTGTTTCCTCATTAAACGCAACGAAAGCGTATGCTTCGCGTTGTTGTGTCAGAATCCTTGTGAAATACAGTAATACTTTAGGATGCTTAGTTTAAGCAAATTTGATGAACGTGATCATGCGTGTTGAATCTAGGGGGAGTTGCTCCAGTATGGAAGGCCGATGGGGCCAAAACATCTGCAGCGTTGTGTGTGTGTCTGTCTCAGGCCCGTTGAGGGGTGTCTGGTGTGGAGTGAGCGACGTATCTGAGTAGGGGCGTGTGCGCGCGAGACGTACCTGAAGGACGGTGGGGGTGAGTTGCCCGCGACTACCTGAAGAGCTAGGAGGGATGTGGGGGACGACCGGTTTGCGAGAAATTATCATTCATTTGCAGGCATTTGGGAGTCTCTGTGCACTTGCGGGATACTCCTAGTCTTAGAAACTGGATGAATGTAAAGTAGGATTAAGCAAAATTGTTTCTACTCTATAACTAATGTTCTCAACTCACAGCAATAAAACTTTACAATGAGTGCAACTGTTTGTATTCTATAGTTTATTAGTATAATTTTTCATTTTCCATATCTGCAATTCGGATTTTTTTTTTTCGGATTTTTTTTTTTCGGATTTTTCAATTTGGATTTTTTTTTTTGCAGTCCACTTAGAATCCAACATGGAAATCAATGTTTTCTTTATTGGCATTGATTGTTTTGAAATTTAAATGTCATTAACAAGCCTGTGTTTTAATTTCTGTAATAAATATGGCTGTCAAGCCAGGATCTTGATGGTTTATTGTGGGTATGTTGTTTACATGAAGAAATCTGTCTTACAAGTTAAACAAAAATTCTATTACACAATTATATTTTGAAATTTAATTCTAATAAACAATTATATTTTGAATTTAAATTGTTTTTGTCTTGCGTGTACATTAATTTTACATTTAAATAGCCAAAATTACAAGTTTCAGTATTTTAAATGCGATTAATCGTGATTATTTTTTTAAAAAGGTGCGATTAATTAGTTAATTTTTTTTTAATTGATTGACAGCACTAATATATATATATATATATATATATATATATATATATATATATATATATATATATATATATATATATATATATATATATATATATACATACATACATTCATTTACATACTGATTGTACATTTTCAATATCGAGTGATGTTTGTATGTTCAACACTCTTTTGAGCGTCTGACAAACACTGTTGTGAAAGGTGCCCTGTTGACTGACAACAATTTATGACAAACCCACCTGCCCCAATATGTTGCAGTAAGGCATTGTGACAGTGCAGTGTATCCTGGGAGACAGTGTTTTCACCCTCTCTTTTCTTCTTCCACATCTGTCTCATCTTTTGGAATTCATCCTGAAATTTAAAGGATTGGAGCTGCTGTGTCAGGGTTAACAATAATTGGATTTATCTTGTCTCTTTGCTTCAAAGGTGTGCGTGTGTGTTTGTACGCTTGTGTGCATGTGCGTCTGTGTGTGTGTGTGTGTGTGTGTGTGTGTGTGTGTGTGTGTGTGTGTGTGTGTGTGTTAATCAGATGTGATTCATCTTTTAAGAATATTTGTTACACCTCTTGGATTTCAGATCTGTGGATAAAAATGAAAGCAAAAGTGAAAACATACAAAAATTTTCTGCATCAAAAAAATCAAATCAATAAAACTGCTATACTTAGTTGTTGTTTTTCCTATGTGTACATTAGCATCAGGCATGTTTTAAACAATAATGTTTTGATGACATATTTGCAATGTAGACACCAGAATATTATAACTTCTAGAGTGGTCATTCTAACTATTCATGTTAAACAATACGTATTATTTTATTTAAGGCATTCCCCTAAAAATATATATATTTTTTT